CCTCCTGGTGGCCAACCAGCCTCTCTGCGCCCTGTCCAGGGTCCTCCACATCTTCCAGAGCCGACTCATAGGGCCCCTCGCTGTCGGAGTCTGGTGGCAGCTCCAATGGCTCCTGCTGGGCCACAACAGATAGATAAAGATAAGCATCTGTTTGTTATCTTTCTAAGCATCTCCACCTCGCCTCCTTTTCTTCCTTTTTCCTCTCCAGATCACAGCAATGGGAGAGAACCTTACCCCTTGGAAAGGCTTGCATTTGGGGCTTGTGCAGGCCTGATCGGGCAGTCGGCCTCTTACCCTCTGGATGTGGTCCGTCGACGGATGCAGACTGCAGGGGCGCTGGGCTACTCCTCCCAGTCTATCCTCCCCACCATGAGGGACATCATTCGGGAAGCGGGACTCGTCCGAGGCTTGTACAAAGGGCTCAGCATGAACTGGGTCAAAGGTCCCGTCGCCGTGGGCATCAGTTTCACCACCTTTGATCTCATGCAGATTCTCCTCCGTAAATGGGAGCGCAGCAGGAATGTGCAGAGTTAACGCCAACTCTGCTTCCCGGGGGTTTCCTTGTGGAGAGGGAGTGACCACCATGGTGGCAGTCAGTCAGTGCTGATGAACCAGGAGAGACAAATCCTCCTTTTTTAAAACCCTTTCCCTCATCCCAGATGAGATTCTCACAGTAGATCTGAATGACCTCGGAGACTTTGGTCTCAGACACGCAGATTCCTCTAACTGTGGCCATCTCTCCGGTTTCCAGATTAACGAATGTGCAAAGAAACGATAGTAGAAATCAGTGCAGGATTTTCACTGTTTTTACGATGCGATCTACACCCCCCCCCCCTGAATTCTCCGAAATAGAGGAGAAAAGGAACCTCAGTAGCAGCTGAGGTAATTTTATTGGTGTCAAACCTTTCCCCACACAACTCTTCCTATTCCCCTTTTATTTTTAATTTAAAAATAATTTGTCCACAACTCTCCTCGCCTATCGTTTTCCTCTTGGAAGTGCAGTGCCAGATTGGGGTGGGGATATTTTTTCCACAGAGTTGACTAAAAAAGAAGGACACCTCCTCTGGCATTTTTGGGTTGCTGGAAACCAGGAGATCTTAAATCGACAAGTGGTTCAGGTTGTTACCTTCCAGAGCAGCATTTAAATAAAGGATTTTGTGTTTTGTTTTGTTTTTCAAAGGAGAAAAAAAAAAAAAGCAAGAACAGCAACCACTAGTACCAGATAGGTTTTCCCTTTCCCATTGGAGATGGTTCCACTCGGTGGGGAAAACATTACCAGCGCACAGTGTTAACTGGAAACTCTTGCTGTCTTGATATGCTCTCCGTTTTCATTTCTTCAGTATTATCCATATCATTTTCCCCCGTAGGGAAAAGGGTAGAGAATGGATGCCATAAGTATTTGGTTGGATGGAAGGAATGTGAAGGGATTATGAGCGCCTGAGAATCTCCTCTTCCTATTTTAACATTAACTTTTGCCGGGTTCTCCGATTGAAGGAAGAGCCCTCTGGTTCTTTCTCTCTGGGCCCTCCATGCTTCGTGCATTTTTAAGATCTTGCTCGCTTGAAATTGGAGGAAACACACCTGTTGGCAAAACCGGCAGCCTCCTGTTGTAGCCTCCTTCCTAAATAGTATAATTTCACTGCCTATTTTCCCTTTTTCTTTACTGCTGCTTGTCAGAGTGGAGAATACCATTGCGCCATGTTGGGCAAGCTTCCTGTGGCAGCTTATATATTTCCTGCATTTTGGTCTCTCTGGGTAGTTTTTTTGCTGCTTTTTGCTCTTTTTTCTCTTTGCCGTCTTCTGCTTCGTTCAACTTTAATGCCACTTTGGTTTGGGGTGAGGTGGGGGATAGCAACAGATTACCCCCGATGCGATTCTCAAGTCCTTCTCTTCTGGCTAAAGCAGAGGTTGGGAACTATGGCCCTTTTTATGGCTTGTGGACTTCAACTCCCAGAATTCCTGAGCCAGCATGGCTCAGCTCAACATGGGTGGCTCAGGTATTCTGGGAGTTGAAGTCCACAAGTCATAAAAGGGCCATAGTTCTCCACTTCTGGGCTAAAGGAAGAAAGGAGGAATGGTGTATATTATGGGGGTGGGGGGGGGGAAAGTGCGTCTGTGGCAAGACTAAAAGACACTCGGTTGTGAACTGACATGGATCCTTCCCCACATTTTTTACAACAGGCTGGAAACTGATTCTGATATTTGTGGGCCACAACATATTTTGTGGTGATCTACATGCACTACGGTCCCTCCACACACAGCATCCTAATGGTTCTTTCTACGATCCTAGAAATTCTACAAATTCACTTGTTGATTCTTGGCAACTTCGCCGTTCGAATTGATTCCTGCAAAGGGGCTCGGAATCTAACGGAAGCTTTTTGTGGCCGTAAAGCGTTGGCTGCATTGGAGATGCTGTAAGCATTTTTTTTTTAAGAGGCAGAATTCAGAATGTGATGCGTAAGTGTTGCACACACAAAACACGTTGGCTGTGAGCAGCCTCAAGGCTGCTTAGCCTCCGACGTGCACAAGTCGAATCACAAATCAGTAAATGTGAAAAATGTCTCAAATTGAGACTTATGAATATGAAACTCAGCTCTTTAGAAGGTTTTTCTTCCGATTTTAGAATTTTTTAGATCCCCACCCCATCCCCGTCCACTGCTTAAGCTTGGTTGCCAATCTAGCTTGTTGTTTTTTAAAAAAAAACCTGCTTTATATACTTAACATTGCACCACTTACCTTATGGTCTTGAATAGAGCCTCTTGGCCAGAAATGTTAGACACTATCACAAAACATCCCCTGGTCATTGTAATCAAATCAAATTCATTGGGGATGTGTTGGATGTTTAGCTGGGGAAACCTGCTACAATTGGGATTAGTTATCTATTTGTGGGGAGCTAATGGGGGTCTCCCTTTTGTTCCCCAGTATCAACTCAGCTGGAGAACTTTACCAAGGCAAGTTCAGCTGTGTGGTTTTCTCTTCATCTGCACATTCCTAAGGTAGAGTGTCTAGACCAGGGGTCTCCAAAACTTGACAACTTTAAAGATTTGTGGACATGTCTGGCTGAGGAATTCTAGGAGTTGAAGTCCACAAATCTTAGAAGTTGCCACGTTTGAAGACAACCCCCCCCCCCCCCCCGGTCTAGAGCAGAGAGGGGAATGAAGGTCCCTTTATGACTTCTGGACTTCAACGCCCAGAATTCCCGAATCCTGCAAATTGAAGTCCACCAGTCAATAAAAGGGCCCTCATTTCCCCCACCCCTGGACTACAGTAGCTTTTGAAACTCGGCAACTTGAAAATGTGGACTTCCAACTCCCAGAATTCCCCAGTCAGCATGCTGGAATCCACACCTCTCAAAATCACCCAAGTTTGAAAAGCACCGCTCTAGAGTAAGAATAGCTCAAGGGCAGGTTAGCCTTCCCTACTTGGAACCTAGCCAGGGTCTTTCCTTGGCCTAATAATACATTGGAAAGGTCAATACAAACCGGCTGCCCTAAACAGCGCCTTTCCTGTCAGCTGCCAACCTCCTTGAGCTGAGCAAGGTGACTTTTAGCAAACACTCAATGTTGTTTTTCCAGGGGTAACAGGTCAATTAGTTGCTGTAATTTGAATGTGCCTTTAAAAGGTGCTGGGTGAGCCTCTGAGCACAACAGGGCTGTTCTTGTAGGACAGCGGTGTTCAAAGTTGGGAACTTTAAGACTTGTGGACTTCAACTCCCAGAATTCCCCAGCCAGACGGCTGAGGAATTCTGGGAGTTGAAGTCCACAAGTCTTAAAGTTCCCAACTTTGGATACTCCTGGCTTAAGCAAATGGACATCCCTGTTGTAGAACGAAGGGAACTATTTTTTTGACAAGTAAATCGGCAGGAAAATAGGATCCATTTCCTTTCAGGGGTTCCGACCTTTTTTTCCAGGGATTTCTGGAGAAACCACCCTTGATGTAGAAAATCTTTAGGATGTGTTCCAGGCAGGGCTAGTCCTCATTGCTTTCTGCAAACAGAGTATATGATTGCAAAGCCGTAACATGTTTCCCCCTGAGAGAGCTGCGAGCGAGTGTTTTGAAGGAAAGTGAGCTAGCTGCTAAAGTATTTGGCACCCCCGCACAGCCAAGTATTATAAAGGGTTCTCCAGCCTTGGGGACAATGGCGTTAATGGGGCGCGTGACACATTTGTGCAGAGCGTTGAACACAACGGCCTCAGCCGACGAGAGCTTCTCTGCATCGTGGCTTTTTACTTGGCCAACGATACTTTGTTTTATATAGATGTTTATGGTGACAAAATTATAAAGATCTGTGCCAAGGGAGGAGGTATATTTAATAATAAAAAAATGAATTATCCAGTTTGTGGTGTATGTTGTGTCTTCTTTCTTTTTTTGTCTAATTGTATAGAATTAGACGGCATTAGTAATAGAAGTATCCCCAAACCTTTTTGATGACCACGACTAGTAAGAGAATAACAGAGTCGGATGGGACCTTAGAGGTCTCCTAGTTCAACCCCCTGCTCAAGCAGGAAACCCTTGATCATTTCAGGCAAATGGTGGTCCAATTTTTTTTCTTCTTAAAAGCCTCCAGTGATAAGAGCACCCACAACTTCTTAGGGACGTGGTGACTCAGTGGCTAAGATGCTGAGCTTGTTGATCGGAAAGATCAGCAATTCGAATCCCTAGCGCTGCATAACGGAGTGAGCTCCCGTTACTTGTCCCAGCTTCTGCCAACCTAGCAGTTTGAAAGCAGGTAAAAAATGCAAGTAGAAAAATAGGGCCTTTGGTGGGAAGGTAACAACGTTTAGTCAAACAACGAAGGACTGGTGCCTCTGCCAGCGAAAATGGACCTCGGAGGGCTGTGTGCAGCTCTCCCAAATTCCACTTTTTGCTGGCAGTGGGTGCAGGAGATTATCACAGCAGGAAATGGAGCTCGGGAGCCCGTTTTCGCTGGCAGGGCGCTCAGGCCACCACAGGCGCCCCCAACACAAGTGACATCAGGTTGGTCACGTCCACCCTGGCCACGCCCACTCCCCCCCCCCCGAGGTCAAAACAACCCAAATGCCGTCCCTCAATGAAATCGAGTTTAACACCCCTGATCCACGGCATGCAAATCGTACCAAGCTTTGGCTTCAAATAGCTCTTCCCTCCTCCATTTTAATTCCTGGCTTAAGCTTAGATCAGTGATGGGATGCTACCGATTTAACAACCGGTTCAGGGATCGTGTGCTTTGCGGTTTTGAGAAAACGTCCCTTTCGCATTACTGCTGGGGAGGAAAACAGCTGAGGCACAGCAATCCACTCTGCCCATAACTCAGCTGAGAAGATATATCGTATTTTTCAGCGTACAAGACGTATCATTCCGCCCCTAAAAGAGCGTGGAAATGTTGGTGCGTCTTATACACCGAATACAGCCATTTTTGGCCTCCCAAAGCCCTGCCTCCGCATCCCATTTTTGTGAAAAACGGGCCTTTTTTCACCAAAACGGGGGAGTTTTTGCCTTCCCCCAGCCCTGCTGAAGCCTGCAGAGTGCTCCAGGAGGCCGGGGAAGACAAAACCTTTTTCCTTACCTCTTCAAAATCTTGGTGCGTCTTATAGTCTGAAAAATACGGTAGGTCATTAAAGTGCAGGGGCGGGCCCACTTGTTTGTGTGAGCGAACCCAGCTGATCGTTGGAGCTACCGGTTTGCCCGAACCGGTAGAATCCTATCCCAGGTTTAGATGTAATATTAGGCTTAACCAGGGGTGGGATTCAGCCAGTTTGCACCTATTCGGGAGAACCGATTCCTAACTTTCTAAGCAGTTCGGAGAACCGGTTGTTGGAAGAAATCTCTTTTGGTTTTTCTCCACTTTACAGGGCTGATCCTGTAAGGAAGGCAGGAAGGAAGGAAACATTCTGGTGTTTCTAGCCTAATCTTTGTTGCCCTGCTTACAGAAACTGCCTCTCTGGTTAACCCTTATTCCATCGTAACAGCTAAGGCGAAGCGCCCATCAGCCTGAGTGGCGTTGAGTTGGCCACGCCAACCTGATCACATGACCACCAAGCCCCGCCTACCCAGCTGGTCATTCAGGCAGAGAACTGGTTGTTAAATTATTTGATTCCCACCACTGCCTACATCTCTCTGCATCATTTATCTAATCTTCCATTTTTATATTGTATCAGCCTCTGTGACCATTTTAACCCACCCCCACCCGAATGCCTCCTGAGTCAACGCATCATATATGTGCACATATATTAAATGTAAAAAAAAAAAAGAAAGGAAAGAAGGAACGAGGGGGAGAGAGTATGTAATTGTATTTGCCATATCCAACACCAAAGTAGTTATTTCTTTTTATTGGGAAAATTGTTAGATTTGATGGCAGTATGTAATTAGTAGCTTGCCAGCCCTAATTAC